CAAAGGATGTAGCCTATCTACCACATAATGGGTGGCACACAACGATCCCCTCAAGATCGGTGGACTGTTGGCGGATCATTCACTAATTTCAACCCTACTGCACTCAACAACACCAGTTTTACTCCAATTGCCACTAGTTCGTGCACCAGGGTGGAGTTCACTGTTAAAAGTATCACTGAGGCTATCAAAAGCCTGAAACTATCAACGGGTGTGGGGATAGATGGCCTAAACTCAGCAGTCATCAGAGACAGTGGTGATGATATGCCACTGTTCTTGCTTGAGATATTCACACTATCAATGGAAAGTGGGGAGTATCACAGCGGGTGGAAAACTAGCTTTATAATTCCTCGCTACAAGTCCGATGACAAGGCGGATGTTGGGAACTACAGACCTGTCAACATAACGCCAGTCGTCTCCCGAATCATGGAAAAGGTGATTAAGAGTAGCATGTCTGACTACCTACCTAGCGAAAACCTCATCACAAAGTCTCAGCACGGTTTCATTAAAAATGGATCTTGCATTACCTGCCATTTCGACCTCTTCAACCTTATCACCAGTAGCCGCGAGGTACGTAAAGTTGTCGTTGTTCTATACTTTGATATATCAAAGGAATTTGACAAGGTGCCACACAGTATTCTCTTTGATAAGCTACAATCGATTGGCATCCATGACCCTTTACTTCATTGGCTAAAATCATTTCTTAGTGAGCTTGGTCAAATTGTCAAAGTATATTCTATGCAGTCTACACCTAGGCTCATAACTAGTGGAGTAATACAGGGTAGTGTCCTTGTACCTTTGCTGTTCATAACTTATATTATTAGCGTGTGCAGGTGCTTCACTGTAGGGGAAACATTCCTGTACGCGGATGACCTTACACTAAATACACTAGGAGATGACTGCAGCCTAGACTACATCTCGAGATGCAACATGCTAGGACTGGAACCTCTCTAAAAGAGGCGACTTAGAATGAACCTTATATTTTACTATAAATTACTTCGTAAGCAAGTGCACTCATGTGGCCGGAGAATTAAAATAGTTGTAACATCTACTCACTATTGACGTAATCACAACCTATTAGCGAAAAGTGAGTGTTGTGAGACCAGATTACAAAGAAACTTCTTCATCAATAGGTCTTCTCACATCTGGAATAGACTTCCTGAGGGAATACGTAACGCAGGCTTATTATCTACCTTTCGTTCTGCACTTGATACGCTCCCAACAGATGATGAGTCCACCACTCGCTTAGGCACTATACATACCTTCTGCGCCAATGAAAGCTAACTAGGACCTTCAAACGTATAGAGTAAAGCTGTCATAAATCTCAAGTACTTTTCACCTCAATGAACTCGCAAAGGGTATTTGATCACTAGTCCATCTGGTCGGATTGTGCAGTACAGATACATCACCAGTGTTCCCTTTGAGTTTACCAACAAAAACTGCCTATCTAATAACTCGCACGAACTTCATGTGAGAAAAGGAGGAAGATTTACTCTCATATGAATAAATTAAAGTTTACACATAGTTCGAATGACTTTAAAAGGACGAGAACTTCTCTCCTCCTAGGTTGTTCTACGTGGTATTCCACAGTCCAGTTTCTCCCTGCGCTTTCTCTTCTCTTCTCTTTTCAGTTTCAGCCTGACGAGATCACTTTACCTAACGGCAACACATCCATAATAATGCTATGCAACAGATTTCTCCAGTACTTTGTCTTGTATCAATCCACCCGATGGAAGTCAATTAACAGCCAATGTGTCTCCTTAACAATGTTGCAAACTTTAATATGAAGTCTATGAAGTTTTACACATGTGTAATATTCACCACTGTTGAACGACGATGCTTCCAGTCTTTAATTACTTGCACCACAACAAATATTTCCAGTACTACCAATCTGAATTGCTGGGAAAGGTAACACTTGAAGAGTGAGAAACGCCTGAACTTAGACATCCACCTGGATTAGATGACTGTATGGATACTTACTTATTCTTTAAATCATTGAAGTTATTGTTGGTCAATAGATCTACGAACATAAGAGTTACTTTTAAAATGGACGTATATCTGACAAAACACTGGGTCTTGTAGATAGGTCAATCATGTCAACTACTCACAAAGCAAACACTGAATATTGTGCCGTTTGATGTGGAGAAAGAATTGTGAGCAGAAATGACTTCAGCTCAGAATGATGTGTATGTACTGTGAAGTGATATTTTCTTGCTATTTTCGTAACATTTAGACACTTGGTATCATGATAGAGTTTAATGTCCTCCCTCTGTGTCATTCAATACTACCAAAACCTTTTATGTTTCTCTGCAATTATCAATTTGATGAGGCCTGTAAACTGGCTTCTCTTATGTTAACTTCATAACTTCAGAACAAATATATTTGTTTACATTTATTTATTTAAGATGTGTCGTGGCATACCCACCGTGATCAAGGAGACAGTCGCTGACTGTTGGCAGAGCCATAGTCCTCCACCATAGGAAAAGATGATTACGGAGCTCCAGGATACTATCAGTGAACACCAAGGTCCAGAACAACACAGGAACCAACATGTATTTGCACGCTTGGTAAATGAGTAGGTGAATAAATAAGTGTTTTATTCTCACGTTAGTAATTTAACGTCAGAGAAGCCTGTTTGTGGGCATCATCACACCGATATACGTCGAGAAATCACCAAGGTTTGACGAGTCCTGAATAATACAGGGGGTATGTCGTTAAATTCTGTTAAAAACATCAGAAGATCCTGCTGCCTATTAAGCGAACAAGAAAATACCACCTTTAAGAGCATACGGTTTGTTAAAATTCAGGCAATAATAATAATTATCCTAATATAATGGATTTAACATGAGATACCAGTTTACGAGAATTGTCAAACTGATAATTGATGAAGGCTTACAAAACGGTATTTGGTATAATATAATTCACATACCAGGGCACTGATGTGCACGATCTTAATACAACTTGCTGCAATTCATGAGAAGGGCATAGATTTTCATCTCACTGCACTGATAGGTTCCACTGTTAGGAACAAAGTGGAAGTTTGTGTTATAACCGCTCGACGTTGTTAGCGCGTTTGCATAGTTTGTTGTTTAGTGACGTAACCGTCCATTCATTTGAAAGCTCTTCATTTTTTTGCTTTGCTAGCCACAAAGGGCCCATTTATACTATCTGAACTAACAGTACATTATCCACAGCTATATAACCAACGTGAGTGTTTAAATTAATGCATTTCCAGGTCATCACACTACTTTTAAAGGTAACATAGATAAGTTCCACTGGAAGTACCTGCTGTAGCAGATGGGAACGTTGAAACGGTTGATCACAGTGTCGCAACATAAGCGACCGCAGTCCACCTCAACGTCTACAAATTAATGCCTTCACTGTAATTTACAGAATTTCTGATTCTATTGCTCCCGTGTCCAGAGTGATATAACAGTCGCAAAAAGCCACCGCGAAACTACGGTGGATCAATGAATATTCCCCTATCTGAACACCATTGACTCTGACCATCTAATTTGGGACGAAAAGGGAAAAGCGTGAGCTACGACTGCATATTTCACAGCGGTTTTTACACATGAACCCTCCTTGTAAACTAATTCAGCAGTAGCAGCATTGAAGTTCAACAGAATGAACCCTGTGGAAATCGACTTCAGTGATGCATTCAGAACACTAAAGACTCTTGACGTCGGAAAATCGACAGGACTAGATGAGTTGCACCCACAGCTGCTCAGAGAGCTTGCATTCCACGTAACCTGCCCACCCGCTACTGTTTTAAAGTTACCTCAGTGAGAGTAAAGTCCCCTATGACTGGAAGCACGCCATAGTCTATCTAGAAGGCAGGATTTCGGGAAGTACCCAGTTAGTGACAGAGATATAAGCTTTGCATGTAATGTAGTTGAAATCGTAGAAAGACTAATCAGGAAAGCTACTGTGGTACACCTAAAAAATCAGCACCTTATTGTATCTTTCGGGGTATGGCTTTCGTGAGAATTTCTCTTACTTGACGAACCCCTTCACTGCCAGTGAAATTTGGATTGTGTCTAGGGATAATAGGATGCCCGTTGATGTCATTTTTACGGACATTAGTAGGCGTTCAACAAGGCACCTTATTCCAAGTAGCTCGGGTAAATGTGTGGGCATGCACATGGGGTACACAGATGGAAACACCTATGATATTGGTGGAATTCCTAAACTCAGAATGATCTAGAGGTCACGGTAATTTATTACCCGAAGACCATGGCACACTATCGATTAGTCATGGCTCGGGGTTTCAGGACACTTAAGACATTACACAGAACGTCTACAAGAATAAGTTGCGACATGTTCACCATCTTACACATATCCTTAGTTAGGTCTAAACTTGGAACCTGTACACAGGGTGCAAATCCTGATTTCAAGAGTAACCTTCAACTTTTGAAAAGAGCTCAGAGAGCCGCCAGTTGCATGACTACTGTGAAAGCTGACCTGACCGACGAAGATTGACCTAAGGAACTGAAACTCTCCTCTGTGTCCTGTCGCAGATGGAGGGGAGATATAACCATGCTAAATATGATTCTACTAAACGCGCTTGGACATGATCTATCCCTTGTTTTTACTCCCACTGGGCCATAACAATTCAGGGACATAGTAGATGAATACAAAAGTGAAGGACGAACGCAGTCTCTGCAGAATACTGGTTCTCGCATCCAGCAATCAACTCCTGAGACCGAATCCAAGAAAAAGCGGCTTCTGCGTTATCAGTCGACTTCTTCAAAAGAAGACTAAAAAACGCAGGGATCTGTTGGAAGAGGGTTGAACGGGCTCATGGCTTTCTATTAGAATCTGGATATTTAGAATTCTCGGTGGTGTGCCTTATTTTCCAGTATAACATCATTTAAATGGCTGGATAAACTGCAATAGGATTTAATGAACGCCTCAAACCATTCTAAGAGTCTTAGAAACAATACTAACGCAACAAAGCGATTATTAGCAGCTCGCAGAACAGTCGTTGGACATTCGCTAAGAACGCAGTCATTACAAACTGAAGGTCGTTAGAGTTCTGAAGTTAGTAGTCAGCATCTTTATATGATTTATTTTCGCTTCTTCCAATCACTAGACTACATTAAACTTCAGTTTTTGTGGTGGAAAACGTTTGTAATTGACTACTTTATTTCGTGACCCAATTCTTCATGAGTGAGCCTTGAAATTTCTATAAAATTAGCTACATGTAGCTTCATATATTTGGAGCCAAGATGCATCTTGACTCGAAATAAAATTCTTGTCTTAAGCATCTTAACATAGTTTTCTTGCCTAAATTACCTTCTGCTAATACGCATATAACGGCTTGCAACTCTACTCAACACCCTTGCGATCGAATGCCATGTAATTAAAAGTACACAAATATCGCACATGCGAAGTGTCAAGCTATAACTTAAAGTTAAAACAGGATATCTTTATCATCTTAGTTGCTTCACATAGCCCATCTTGACCTGAAAGTGACGTGGATTAACGTAAACTGAATTAGAATGGCAGCATTAAATGCCCGTTAGTTAGGCTCATGGACGCTCCACATATAAGCTGGGCAGGGCTTACGGTTGACATGAGATAGTAGCTTGGAAAATGATCAACTTGGGCAGCACGTTATGATTGAGATTTAGTTCACACTATTCCTCTTTCTAGACTACTGATGTCAGGATTTAGTGTATCTTCACTTCCTACCCCCGCTGCCGAACAGTGATACTGTTGCCTTCACTTTCCCGCCAGACCGAACTTGTTGTGCAAATATGAGGGACTTTACGTTTAGTTTGGACGTGATTATTGATAAGGACTAGTCTATCTAGAATAGCTGGAATAGGATTAGAAATAATTTCATAGGTTGAAATACTACTCATCCTATAGTCCATCACATTTCTACAATCTCACTTGGACAGATTGGTACAAAAAGACTCATTACAGCTAGCTTTAACCTCAATGAGGAGAGACAGCGACATTTTACTTAGACTGAATATGAGTCTTCGCAATGTTCATAGGCAGTAGTAAGCAGCTAAAGTGAGGGCGGATAAAAGAACCACCACTTAGTAATGCTTGATAGTCGTTTCGACTTACCGAGAATTCTGGCAAACAGAATACGTTAAATGAGACCGTCACCGAAAAGATGGAACGCTGATAACCGCCGAGGAAAGGAGGCTAGAACGTTGAGTGGAACGCTTTGAAGAACAGTTCAACTGACCCACAACAACGCTTTAGTTGCATGGCATTCACCCGAAATCGGAGTTGCATGTAGATGTCAGTTTCCCAACTGTTCACGAAGCTTAGAAGGTGGTTTCAAATCTGAAACGATGTAAAGCAGCAGGATTTGACACTTCACCACTCAAAGTCTGCAAATATGGGAGTAGAAAATTGCAAATTAAAGTGGTTGAGGTAATTTGTAGTGTATGGGGATCTAAGGTAATGCCATCAGACCAGTTTAATTCTCCGATCATTCCAGTCTATGAAAAGGGACAGGTCTTCTTGTAATAACCATAAGGAAATAAGTCTGACTGATATTGTGTCCAAGACCCTAAAACCGATAATTATCCGACGACTTACTTGAGCTAGAGAAGAGTAAACTGAAGAAAAACAGGCAGGTTTCAGTCATGGATGGGAGTGGATCGGTCATATTTTCATCCTGCGACAGGTCTTGGACCAACACTTGCTATATATCTTGACCTGAAACCGGCACTTGACTCTACCGTGAGGTGTAGCAGTATCTGAGTGTGAAGAAAGTAGCGAGCAAGTATATAACGCTAAAGAAAGCTGTCTGCTCGAGCTTCCCTTGTTGTCTTCAAAATTGACGACAATTGGTAGTGTCCGCCAGGGATGTCCACTATCAACGTTGCTATTTAACTTCGTCATAGATGTACTAATTGACCACCTTAGATACATCTGACTTCAGGGAGATTGATCGACTACCAGAAAGCAATCTGGTTGACTTGAATTATGCAAACGATATTGTCCTGGTGAGTGAAGATGCTGACAAAATGCAGGGTCTCCTGAACGTGTTGAGCAGAAATCTGAGTATGTTTCGAATGCGTTTCACATCTGCGAAATGTAAGACTGGTCTGTAACTACTACCAGTTTAGTGTTTTAGAGTGAAGTGGTGGAATATGTTGATTATTTCACTTACTTGGTGTGTTGCCCCAGCTCAAATAGGCTGATTGCTGACGAAATCTCAGCTCGGATACAGAAGCCCTGTTTGACATTTACCAACTTTCGTCATCTGGGGCACCTGGGATATATCTGACTACCTGTTAAAGGCTGAGTATATTGCGCTGCATTTCGCCCTGCGAAGAGATTATAGATTTCTGACCACTGGCGTCTTCGCTAGGCTGTTTGCGTATAATCAAATCACTATTTGAGAAATATTGAGGTCAGATGAAAGGTACTAAGCGAAGAAGTCAAGTCTGTCGACGAGATTTTGATCCTTTATCGACTTAGGTGTCTCGGACATGGATTACGCCTTCCCAGCCACCGCTCACCTCGACGCGTAATATTGGCTGAAGTATGGTTAGTTGGGAAAAAAGCTCTTGGTGTTCAGACCAAGATTTAGGAACAGTCGATGAAGTCTCCTACTGTTTGTCTAGGGGATGTAAGACGTAGGTTGCCTGACTGGAGTCCTTGAAAGAGTAGAATCCATGCTTCGAGATCCTTGGTGACATGGCTGGGAAACAGTAGAAACGGTACAGGTGTATTCATTCTCGATGTCTTCTAAAGTTTGAACATTTTCACTAATCTTTAATTTTCAAGTCCTTTCCTCTCGGACACACTTTTGTCTACTTTGAAATCATTATTTTCCTATCGACTTGTTTTTTGGATGCTGCTGTGAATTATGTTTCTGTGTACACTCCTAGGCTGGTTTTATCTGCTATTACTTACTTTTAAAAACTGGTTTAGGAACATTTAAAATTGATAAATGTAAAATACACGGTCTCGAATAGCGTATTAGAGGTAGCTCTTAAGTGATTACCTACACTGTCCTAACAGACTTCATTCATTTGAGAGAGGTTGAAAAGAAAAGGTGAAGTTCCATTTCTGGTGTCAAGTTGGAGGTCATATCGATTGAATTGGTCTGAGTGCTCATCGGAATACTTTGGTGAAGTTTTCTTGGTAGGTTGAGATAGTGATGCCTGGAACAGGTGTACCAGTACTACTCAGCCAATGATACAGTGCACATAACAATGGAAACATGTTCGGTTGTTTTAGTAACCCTACGCTTGGGAAATCTCAGGTCTCTGATATTTTGCATCCTAGTTTGTCATCCTTGACAGCGGATATTTTTGTTTAGTCAGTTGCTGAATTTTGCAATATGTCCCTTTCCTTTTTTACCACTCTAGAGATTAAAAAGATGCCATAGTCAACCCAGTTTTGAAGGCCGGTAATTGCCCAGTGAGTCTAACTGATATCATCACTAAGGTTTTCGAAGGAATTGTTCGTGATAAAGTCCTTAATCACATTGAGTCAAATAATCTTTTATACTGAGTGATGATTGAAGATGAGATGAAAATCTGGACCACGGTTGGATTCGAACCATTGACCACCGGGTTACCGGCCCAATGCTCTATGAACTGAGCTATGAGGTCCAACTGCTGACCATATTTTTTTTTGTTTCATTTCAATCACCAAGGGTTGTATCACCCGACTACCATGTGAATTTGTGACGCGTTACTACCGCTTGATCGTGTTCACAATGTCTGCCTAGTCAGGAGTTATCACTCCAATCCAAATCTAACAGAATCAGGGAGGGGAGCATCATATTGGTTATCATTTGACTATATGAGATAGCCGCAGTTTAGTAGACTGGTTGATGGTTGAACACTCCAAAAAAAATAATCTTTTGACATCCCAGAAACAACTTTCTGGTAGGGCACTCTCTCCATTCTTATTCAATTTTATCATAGATATTCTTATGGAGGTTTCCCTATCGTCATCAGGTTACACAGACGTTGACCTAATCACAGGGGAATTTCCGTTAGACCTTAAATATGCAGATGACATAGTCCTGTTAGATGAAGACGTTGACAAGATGCAGAGTCTTCTGAACACTTTGAGTAGCAATTTGAGAATGGTGGGGATGAGATTCTCACCAAATGTAAATTGTTGCTCCAGGATTGGTCTTCAACGGTGCCACGACTAACAATAGAGAGTGAGTGAAGTGGTTCAGTGTGTCGACCACTTCGCTTGGGAAGTAGGTTCAGCCCTGAAGGCTCAGTGGCCGATGAAATCTCTGCATGGATACAAATGGCTCGATTGGCTTTTGCCAACTTACGCCACCTATGGCGCCTCCATGATATCCGATTGTCTACTACGGGTCGCGTGTACTGCACAGCAGTTTGATCTGTTCTACTCTAATGGCTGTGAAACATGGCCATCGAAGGTGGAAGATATGAGAAGACTTCAAGTGTTTGACCACTGTTGCCTTCGTTGTATAGGCCGTATTCCGTGGTATCACCACACCATGTGAGTAATGCAGAAGTCAGGTGTAAAGTTTTAGGGAGATAGAAGAGGTAAGTCAGTTGGCGAGGTTGTGAACCTTCATCGGTTGAGATGGTTCAGACACGTGTTACGTATGCCTAGTCACCGATTGCCTCGTCACACAATCTTGGTCGAAGTAGGTGCAGGCCGGAAAAAGGCCCGAGGTGGTCAGACTAAAACATGGCATCAATGTATGAAGTCTCTGACTGTTTGTTTGAGCCATGTAGGACGATGGAGACTAGGTGGTTGGGGTCCACGGGACAAGAGGAACCAGTGGTTGGAGACAGACTCTAGGTGATGACATGGCTGAGAACCGATGTCAGTGGCTCAGATTTATCCCCATACACATTATCCTCGTCTTAACGACTCTGTACCGAATCTCACCACTTTCTTATTCTTCGTTTCTCTCTTCGAGTACTTTATATTTCTTTTGACTGCATTGTCTTATCTTCATCTTGCGCCTCACTGCCGTTTTACCTGATGTAGTGATATGAGGTGTGGCAACTCGGACGGTTGCGCAGTTATGCCTGGTCCTAGGTTGATCTGGATGGATG